TGAATATCCCGCTCTCGTCTTTCTCCTTCAAAACCTAACCCTTGGGCAAAATTATCTAATAGAGGCTTCTTAACTTGCATCAACAGCCTTCACCACAACTATGACTGTGTATAAACCTCATAGTTACACCCTCCACTATGCCCAACAACACACACACACTCTTTTTTCTCTTCCTTTCCCATATCGATTCATGCCTCCTCCCCCAGCCCCAAGCCATGTGCCCTTTTGGAAAGAAAAAGAGGGACGATTTGGCTACAGACCCTATATTGGAAGGAGAGGGACAAGAAAGTGGCTTGAGCAGGGACCTGTGGCTGCTGCTGGTGTCACCAGGATGCTTCTGTGGTTTAGTGCTGTCTATTCTCCATCGCCTCATCCTCTCTTTGTCTTCCGTTCCCACTAATCCCCTCCTCAGATGACCCCACTGTTAAACTAGGCTGAATGGGACCAAGATGTCAGGGAATAACATAATATCTACAGCTGACGCCATGTTCATTCTACTTATATACTGCATCTCAGTCCTACCTCGTGCCTGCTTTAGGCATTCAGAGCGAACACTCTGTAAGGTGCCCTGCAAGTTTTTATTGCACCTTGCTCAAAAGGGCATTTTGTTGACTTTAGGCACTCATGCCATAAGCAAAGCATTTGTAAAAATTAAGATACGATCTTACTGCTGTGTTGTGGGTTGCTCTGCTTTGCTTTGCAGATTATACACTGAAAATCACACCCCGACAATCGCGAAGCTGGTGCAGTTTGCAAGGGCTTTCCCAGTCATAAGCACTGGACATACTGCTGGAACACAGCTAAAGCTGGAATGAATTGAAGTGTGCCCATTGTATGGAAATATCTGTGGCCTGTGGCCTGATGCAATACTAATTTTGAGATGTTCCAGATGCCCCTTAATGGTTAGAGCACCCTTAATGCTCTGCAGCTGCTGTGTTTTGGAATAGCTCTTGTTGCCAAATTCCTCCATGAATAAAAGCAAGGGTGCTTATCTGATGTACAGGGAGAAAACAAATATTGCAAGTGAAAGTATGAACACAAAGGGGTTGTGAATCACCATCTACTTTTACTTAATGTTTGATTATTATTTTTTTCTTTTCTATGTGTCCAGTTACTATCTTTCTAAAGCAATCCATGCTCATGTTCCTCCAGTGCTCAGAATTAAATAAACACAGCAGACCCCCCCCTCATCCCACAGAAGCTCCACAACTGGATGCTTCCACTTTTAAATGTGTGAGCAGCCTTTGTGTCCATTTGCCATCATTTCCACTTTCCATCATGTTTGGCTTGCTCCAGAGAAAAGGTCTGATGCCAGGATTTCTGCTGGCTGAAACAAGGGTGAAGTTCTGGCCTGATTAAAATCAATGGCAAAGCTCCCAGCGACGAGTAGGAGAGCAGACTGTGATTTGGAGTACTTGGAGGATATACACAAAGCAATCATACATAGCAATATAATTGCGGCCATTTGACGGATGCTAAAGTTAGAGATCAACAAGCTAGCAGCTATAAATAGCAGTGATTTCTGCTCATTCTTAGTTCTGTTATTTTAACCACTATTGAAAATCAATTCCTTTCCTGCCTTTCAGGATAGGTAAAAAGCACATCGCCTCCTGCTTTCCCGTAGTAAAACTTCAGCATTTTGTTGTCTTAGAATAAATATTACCCTCCTAACCATGCTGTTGTGTTGGCATGCTTAATATTTTCCACACGTACACGCAAAACCTGTTAACATGTTAATGGATTTGTTTGCTTGTCAAGGAAAATTTTGCCCCCTGCAATGACAGCTTCAAACTCACGCTGCAAAAGGGCAGGGCAAGCAGTCGCTCAATGGACAAGCACAACACGCTTCTCCCGGCAATAAAGGCTTCAGACTCGAGTCGGGTGCCTTGCCACTGTGATCCGCAGCGCTGGTTTAATCATGTTAATGCGCTGTCTAATTATGGTAAACACTGCATATTATTCAAATTAAAAATGTATATTGCCATTCACGTAGTCAGCCTGCAGACGTTTTTACGCATTAGTGTTTTCTAAGCTGAATGCCCTCTGGTAGGCACCGGAGGCTGTGTATCACCCCATTAGCTAAAAAGGGAGGTGGATGATCATATACAGTGGCTGCCCCACTTGGAAAGTGTTTTACCTGGCACGCTGTTGGGAGGCAAATGGTTTCTCTAAAGCAAAGTTGTCGCTGCAAAATCCTCTGTGAGATGCAAATCTAAAAACAGCCCTGCTGCCTTCCTCATTAATACGGCAATCGTGACCGGCATGGTCTTGGTTGTGTGAGTTTGCCTGCCTGGGAAAAGAGAGATTTCCAGAATCAACAGCTGAGCAGGGAGCTACGGGTTTGATGATTCAGGCTCTGATCCTTCCCCTCATGGTGTTCACCAATTCTTGCTTTCCCAAAAGTTGTCCTTGCTTGGGCGCATCTCCAGTGGCAGGTACCCAGCCCTTAGGTGGGTTTCGTCAGAAGCAAGAGGCTGCCACTGCAGTGGAAAGCAATCCCAGTCCCAGTTACTGTGCTGGCAGACCTGCAATTATATATCAAAGATACCTAATTAGACACAGAAGTTTCTGAGATGGGCCCAAACTGGAAAGTATTTCCCTAAATCTAGATCTGCAGTTCCTCTGCATGGGATTGTTGGGATCATGTCCTGATATGCTGGATTCAGTGAAGGCGTCAATAAATAAACTTGTAATTTTGTGATCCTGTCAATGATAGGAAAGAAAATGAACACAATACATCATAATAATAATTATAATAATAATAATACCGTCATATTACCTCTCTGTGCTATCAGATATCTGGTGTGGCTTCTCCTGCAAAAGTAGGATCACATTCAAACAATTCCATATGACTATATACAGTAAAAAGGTTTACTGGGATATTTCAGTCCATGCTACATTTTTATACCACAGTTGTGGGTTATGAAGGAAGCTAATGGGCGGAGTGAAAACATAAGAATACTTTACAGAACTGCTTAACAAGTGGACAATCCAGAAAAGACTAGACAATGCAATGTATATCCGTAAACAGATGGATTTTACTAGCAGAGTTTTTTGTGTTCAGAAATGGGAGTTGTGCATGCACTTGGCTCCACAGTTATATAATTGGACTCATAAAATTCTATCTTTTTCATTGTATTAGGCACTTATAGTTTCCTTTGAGAAGGTTGGTTTTTTTTTTTTTTTCTGGGATGCAAGGGTAGATGCTTAGGCTTGTATACTTAGCATGGTCTATTATTCTTTTGATCGCCTTCCCATGCTTCATTCACTATGGTTCAAGCTGGAAAATTACAGTGGAAAGGACTTCTGTGCCTTGGGATTTAATTCTTTTAGGGAACAGAAAGAGTTCCTTGAGACAAATTATATTATGTTTCAACTGTCCCAGGTCATTCGTTTGTTTGTTTTTCCCTGTTTGATTTGTTTCAGTTTCTGGGAATGGTTCCCAGTCACCATTGCCTCGTAGAGCTGGACTAGATAGGAGGAGCTGGAGAAAGAAGGATTTTCAGATGTACTAATGAATTCTGAATTTTAACAGCAATTATCCTCTACTGGTTTTGAAATGGCTTGGAACTGAGTATTTGGTAGAGTTGAATGTGAAGAAATGACTGTTCTTGAGTTCATGTGTTGAGGGAATTCTGATAGTAATCATACGAAGCTGGTAATGCCTCGACTGGCTGTAGAGACTGGCTTGTATACAAAGAGCTTCAGGAAAAAGCTCTCTAGGTGGTTTTACATGATCGTTTGTTATAGAAAATCAGAGTCAGAGCAGAGAGCTCGCAAGTAGCCTGTTGGCTGCTGTATTTATATCCTGCCTGAATTTTAAAGATACTGTATGTATTGATAAATTAATTATTTGATCAAACTTTACAAACCTATTTCAATAGATTTGACCACACATGGTGGAAGTCAAATTTAGGATTGATGATGGAGAAGAATTTTAGGATTAAATGGCACAAGAAAAGTGCTGGGTAATGTTGTGATCTTCAGACAACAAGAAGACAAAAGTTGCTGCCTAAGCAAATAAATTAAGGAGCTGTGATGAAATAATTTCATGCTGAATACAGCCTTTGTGCAAAGCAGAGGGAATGAAGTTGCTGGAGGTGTATATCGAGTGCTTTGCAGGACGTATGAGATACAGCATCTTAACGGATGTATTGTAAAGGGAAAGGAAGGGCATACCAGGCTGTGTGGGACTGTTCCCTTTGCTGTGCTTCCCCAGGGAAGGGGAAAAGGGAAAGCAATCCTGCCATGTGGTTCATGCACTTTGTTGCAGCCCTGCTCCATATCACTGCGTCCAGATCGCTGGCACTTTGGAAAAAAGCATGAGTTCAAAGATTTTTTTTTTCCTGCATTCTTTCGCTCCCATCTTGACAAGTGGCAACAAACCAGTCACTGAAAAGGAGTCCAGGGGGGATGTCAGCAGGATCCTCTCCATCACTGGGTCCTTTGGCAGCCTTTGTCTCCCGTGCTCCCTCCTCTTCCTCAGTGCTGGACCTGTGGTCAAATAGGTGCTGTGTGGCTGGGGTGCTGCTCAAGTGACTGTGCTGGGCTTTGTTCTGCCTGGGGACCTCTGGCTATTGATCAGGGCAGACAATAACGAGTGCCCAGTGCTTCAGGAAGGAGCAGCTGCCTTTTTCTCCAGAGGCCCTGGCTGTGGCCGGGGAGGACAGGCTGTAAATTTAAGCCATCTCCTGTAGCAAGAGGCTGGATGCTTAGTCACACTTGAGCGCCTGGTGGAGTGCCAAGGCCCCGTTTGATAATGTAATACTTATTACAATAGATATGGCTAAGAAGTATTCATTACTGTGTAAACAGGGCTTACGGGAGGCAGGTCCCCGCTCTTCCCCCTCCTCCGTCCCAAGGTATGGGGCCCGCTGGCTTAATCCATCCCAGTTGCCACCGGGGGACTGAGGACACCAGTGCTGCAGGAGGCACCTGAACACGAGCAAAAAGCAAAACAAATGACAAGTGCCGTCGGTTTCCGCCACGTTTCCGAAAAGCTGGGCTGGCTCAGGGGGACTTGTTGGGCGCCCAGCCTTGAGTTGAAGTCCTATGGCCATGGTCCCTCCATCACCAAGGAGGAAGGGCTGGTGGGCTCACTCACTGGGGACCTCAGCTGGTTCCCAGCAGCAGAGACTGTAGATGGTTGTACACACCTGCAAACTATCTCCGCTTGAGGATTTTATAAGAATACTTAAAAAAAACCAAGTCTCAACTCACAACTGGGATGAGAAGAGATGTCTGTAGGAGGGCTCTCACCCTCGATGTGGCTGGCTGGACATTTTTGGAAAAAAAAAAGGAGAAATGGGACCAAGCTGGAGGTGAGAAAAGGGGCAGCCACCCATGGCAATTATGCTTTGCTTCTTCCAGGTGGCTGTTTAGGATTGTGTCTTATGTTGCAAGTAAACCCATTAAAATGGAGACACTGAGCAGTGTGGATGGTGTAATGGGTATGCAAGCACCTGGGCCTATGGGCCTGACAATTAGGGGGAAATATATGCCTGTAAAGATGAATTTGAAGTGTGGTCCAAACACAGGACACAAGGAATGCAAGTGAGATGACATGTCCTTCTTTGGGCCTGCCCCAGAGCCAAATGCTGCATCTAAACTCCTCACTCTTATCCTGAGTATGGTGTTGGATTAAAAAAAAAATCAACACCAAAAACCCCAGAAATGTGAGCTTTTTGGCTGTGAAAACTGTTTGGTAGCATCCTGCAGTGCTTAAGGAGTGGGAGAAGGACCACAACCTTGGAGACAGGAGGCAAGCGGGGATGTCAATGCAGCCTCGCTTGGGTCAGGTTTCTGGAGGGTCCACTGGTCCACCACGTTCTTGGGGTCCTTGGCAGAGAAAACTTTCTCTACATATAGGTTTTAATTATTTCATCTTTTGGGGTATGTATGTGGTGTGGTTTGGTTTGGTTTCCAGAGTTGGTGTCCTCACTGTTTTTTGATTATTTTGTCTATTTGACCAGGCTGATTGGTATTGGAGCCTCCGTGAGTTTCTTCAACACGCTTTGCAAGCAAATCATTTCCCTTGCTCCCTTGCTTTCATTATTGGTGCCAGGTAGTGCAGGGGAAAAAAAAAAAAAAAAAAAAAAAGGAAAAAAAATCAGGAAACAAATCACTAGTATGGGGGAAGAAAGGGAAAAAACATGGGAAATTCAGTGCAGACCATTAAGAAATGGGGAGAAAACCAGTGACCAAAGAGCAGCCAGGCACATGGGGCAAGAACAAGTCCACCAAAGATGATGGGCTTGGAGTGGGGATGAGGGAGAGCCCGGGCTGCACTTTACATCCAAATGCATCATTTGCCTCCATCCCTGCCTGCATCACGGGGATGCGGGCAGAAGTGAGGCCCCCTGCCGCTGCACCCACAAAGCACCCTGTCAGCACCCTGCAAGGGCTGGAGGGCTCTGCAGGGCCCCTGGAGCAGAAGCTGGAAGGGGACAAGCACCCCATTCCCTTCTCCTCCGACCCGCTTACCCCATCTGAGGCTTAGTCTCTGCGTGGGCACCACGTGCTGGCAGCCCCCCGCATGCGGTGCCTGCGCCGAGAGCAAAACCTCTCGGTATGAGAAAACCCCTCCAGACGATGCCTTGGTCTCTGGGAATAATAGATGGTGTTTTTACAACCTCTAAGAGGCCTGTTCCTGGGCAGACGGTGAAAAGCAATACCTCAGGACCACTGGGTTACAGGAGGTTGTAAAATTGCTCCTCCCCATATATATATTTTTGACAATGCTTTCACTGAGGAGTCTTTCCTCTTTTTTTTTTTTTTTTTACATTTTATTGCTGTGGCAATCAGTCTGTCTTTTTTTTTTTCTTCTCCCCCCCTCCCATCCTCCCCTTTTCACTTTGACCTATCAAACTGTAAGTCTTATTTCAAGCTGACGGGAAGGCGTTAAATGAGTGGCTGGGCCACCAATTTAAGGGAATTGATGATCTTTGGGGCTTACACTCTCACGGGTCAAATGATAATGTTGCCCTTCAGGTTAAATTCATACGTTACATAGGGAAAACCAGCAGCTTTCACTGAACCCAGGGCCAGTGGGACACAAACCAACTTTGGTCATAAACAATCATTTAAAAGCTGGTTTTGAAGAAGACAATGCAGGGATACATAATCTTTCATTTGTCTCCTTTTGTCACATTTTTTCCCCTCTAAATTTCTGTGCCGTCCTTCAGGCAGCCATTTTCTGTTTGCCTTCTGTAAACTTTAAAAAAAACAAAAACATGGCCCTAAAGTAGATGTAGTATAGTATATAGTAGATAAAATAGATATAGAGTAAGATAGATATATAGATATAGATACAGATATAGATGATATAGAGATAAAGATAGAGATAGAGATTGAGATTGAGATGATAGAGATTGAGATTGAGATTGATAGACACTGAGATTGAGATAGGTGTATGTATGGATATAGATACAGATACAGATATGATTATAAATATAGATGTAGATATAGATATAGATACAGATACATATATAAATACTGATATAGCTATAGATACTCATATCCATTTTAGTGTGTCCCATACCATGGATACAACCAGAAACCAAAGGTATGAGGTTCATGGGGCTTGGAGTCTGATTTATTGACACTTCAGGGCAAGGCCTATAGATGATGCTTTGCTACTAATTATTAATAAGATTTTCTGCTTTCAATGTTTGTTATAGTCTCCTTTTTGCCCCATCATGTTCTCTTTATGTAAACACCTCCAACCCACCGCTATCTTGTCTTCCCTTTGTTTCATAGGTCTGCTGCCACATGCCAACGGCCAATTACATTTTGTTTAAAACTAAGTATCTCAAGCTATTCAATAAATGGGTAGAAATTACTGCCTCCCCCCCGCCCCCTTCTTTTTTTCATCCTGTATTGTATTCTCTGTGGAATCATAAACAAATCATTGGTAATGGGCATTTATTCCCCTCTGCACCCATGACAAATGAGATTGACATTATGGGTCCTTAGCTGCTGGTGGTTACAAAATGGTTTAAAACCTACTGGGTCCATTCAGAGCAAAGCCTGCCGTTGTTTTTATGGGCATAGATTTTGATAAATCCATCCTTTTTTTTTTTTTTTTTTCCTGGGGGAGATTCCAAAGATTCCACAGGTAAAAAAAAAAAACATCAGAAGTTTTGGTTCACAGATGCAAAGAGGAATTGTCTGTTGGATGAATATGATGAGAGGAAGGAAAACTGACCCGTGTGTTTACAGTCACTTCTCCACCTTCATCCACCAGTGGCTCAGAGGAACACTTACCCATATACCATTTATAGACCCTCATACCCAAGTTTGCTTTTGGGAGACAGAAGCAAGCAAGCTGCATCCTCACAGAACAGCACCTAAATTAATTACAGGAGTGATGGCTCTTAGTTCAGGCACAGCCAGAGGCTAATGCGGCCATATACTTCTTTCAAAAACCCTCCAAATATCCTCACAGAGCATCTCCCAGCCCACTGGCTGCTGGCTTGGGGCAGATCCTCCTGCCTTGGGTGTGTGGAGCAGAGCAACGCCAGCGGGATTTTGAATGGTCCTTACAGTCCTTCCAGTGGGACAGGGATGAGGTACACAGGGGAGATGGGATTAATTGGAGTTAGTTTGGCTGATCTCCAGTGGTACTTTGGCTGAATTTGCATCTGAATCTGAGTTAAAGATGGGGACTTATTTGTGTGCTTGGCTAAACAAAAAGTGGACATCTCTCCCACAGCAGTGCGTAAAGTTTAGGTCATGCCTCTCTCATCCCAGAAAACAATGAATCAGTTGGGCTTTATTGCAAGGGTAGGCTAAATCCTGAAAAGGTGCCTGTCTGCGGGAGAACAAGAGTACTTTGACAGATAAATAGATAGTGTTCAAGTGAAAAAAAAAAAAGAAAAAAAGACATCTGTGGAAACTATAAGCCCATATTGCTTCCAAATATGTGGCTTGAAATCATTTTAGTGGCCTCACATTCGAGAGCAATGGGAGATCTGGAAAGAGGATACCAGATAAGCATTGCTACCACCAACAGATCAAGGAGGTTTCCCCCTCTCAACCCAAAGTGTAGAGTTGCCTTTTAGCAGTCTCCCATTCAGTGCCCAGTGGGGATGAATTCCTCACGTTGGCACTCCTGGGAGCTCAAATCCCTGCAGCTGAGCCTGCCGAGGGATTCATTGAATGGGGATGAGCAGTTGCCAGCTCTGGGTTGTGTTTCCAGGATCAAGAGCTGCCCCTGCCTGGTGGTAACCCTCACGAGGAAGGCTTCATCAGGTGGTGAGGCAGCAAAGGGTTGCATCTCACTTTTCTGACCTAGTATTTTGCAGTATTTAAACTGGAAAGGCCATATTATATAATGCAGCGGTAGGTGCAGCAAAAAAAGTGAAATTAATTGGCAGCTGAGACCACCCAATGTTTTGAGACAGGACGTGAGCGGTTCTGCGTCTGGGACATTTTGAGGTGCTTCATGAGAATTTCTTCACGTCAGGCTCCTGAGTCATCTTTGGGGAGCTCAGAAATCAAAAGCTTACTGTTTTGTCTGAAAACAGTTGAGTTTGCCAGTCATTACATGTTCAGGCTTCAGATACCAATGAATTATTTGTGAAGGTCATGTTGGATTTGTGGGACAACATTAGCACTTGCCTCCAAGGGAAGTAAGCCTTCTGTCAGGAAATTTCTTTGAAAAATGGATTATTATTGCTATTATTTTCATGGGATATGTCATTCAGTGACGCCGGGTGAGTGCTGGGTTTGTAGTCTGGATGTTTGTGTTTGATATTTCACCTCTGGTAATTACCAGCTTTGCATTAGGAGACTTTCCGTATGGACACATCTGACAGGGAAATACATCTGAAATCTCCCAATAGCACTTTATAGTTGTTTCAAATAAATAAATGAGGACTTATCTTCCCCAGATCCTGATGAGGTAGTCAGCAGCTTGCAAACAGATAGATAGATAGCTACCTCCACAGAAACACCAAGTATCCTCCAGGCCCAGGAGAGGGAGATCACTTACTGCAAGGCCGCTGAGAGTTTAACGAGGTAACAAGGAATAAATATTCA